ATATATATATATATATATATATTGTATGAATATAAATACTAATTACAGTGAGAAACACCCAAAACAAAAGCACTAAAACTGAAAATATTAAAATATAATCATTTAAAATATTACACTATTGACTGAATTGAGATGTATTCCAATATATTAATGAATACTATATATAAATAATGCTAAAATAACACTGATCCCAAATCTCAGTTTGAATCCCCAATTTAGTTTTATTAAACAGATACTTTGCAAATATTGTTAAGTAGCTAATGTAAAAAATAAAAAAAGAAGATTCTTATATAACACTGATGTCCACAATCAGCACAAAGCAACAGACCAGAGATGACGGACTCGTTCCAGCTGTCCTGGTCGCTGTAGTATTCATCCAGACGCATGTTCTCCTTGTTCTCTTCGGCCTCTTGTTTGTTCTGCACCTCTTCGCTCGGCTCATTCTCAGTGCTGGCGGTGCGGGACAGCCGTCCATCCGAGCGCCGTCTGGGTGAGCTACGGATCTCCTTACCATGGAAACTATGCAAAAGCATAAATGTGCATGTAAAAAATGACTGAAAAAATGGTTAATGCATCTGAACTCCCTGACTGTGTTTGATTTCCCATACTGTCTCATCTGAGGGTTAAATGCAGTTAAATCTACCATGTTTATACCTGAGAAGTCACACTAGAGGAATAGTATGTGAGAACCCAACCGGTCAGCAGTCAATCGTCTCAAACATGTTGTGATGCATTTTATAATAGCAAGGTGCCATCATTAAATGGCCACATGCATAAATTATGTTTTAAAAAAATTATGGAAGATTTTCAATGCACAATGACACATTACTGTTTAATAACATTTGGGGTCAGAAACTTTTGTTGCTGTTGTTGAAGAACATTAATACTTTTATTCAGCAAAGACACATTAAATTAATCAAAAGTGACTACAAATTATCATTTCTATTTCAAATAAATGCTATTCTTTTGAAGTTTCTATTCATCAAAGAATTCTGAAAAATAAAACTAATGATTTCCATGAAAACATTCGGCAGCACAACTGTTTTCAACATTGATAAAAATCAGAAATGTTTTTTGAGCAGTAAATCAGCATATCAGAATGATTTCTGAAGATCATGTGACACTGAAGACTGGAGTAATGATGCTGAAAATTCAGCTTTGATCACAGCAGTCAGTTACAGTTTAACTGATACTCGCATAGAAAAACGCTATTTTAAATCGTAATAATATTTTTGTATTTTTTTGGTCAAATAAATGCAGTTCTGGTGAGACTTATTTTGAAAAACATTCAAATATCTTACTGACCCCAACCTTTGAACAGTAATGTACCTATCATGTGACTACATATCACAAAATTCATATGAAATACAGAGTTCTGGCATGAAACTCTAGATGGAGCAGTCCAATAGGTACTCAGTCTGACCCAAATGACATCATTATCACATGGTGCAGCTGATTGGTTCTCTCTTGTATCGGTAGCCAATGAGCTCGCTGCTCAACATTCAAATATATAACTAGTGCTTGCCGTAGCAGTGCAGCTTGCTTCAGAAACCCTCCACCTTCCCCAGCTCCACCTGTATAGATCTGCTACGAGGTGATTCATGTATGCTATATGGGGTTATTTCATGTATGTTATATTTGCAGCAGCAGTATTTCTTACATGCTCACAGCAGCATGTTGTGGATGTATTGGCAGTAGCAAGTCTCGGTACTTGCTCTGCCGCAGCAGCAGCAGATCTATTCTGCCAAGACCAAATAGATTAACATTGTCATGTACATTACCATGCCAATCCCTCCGAGAGTTGTCATGACAGAACTACATCTATATGGTGCTTTTAATAAATGATTAGGGAATCTGGATAAATGATTCCTGAAGGACTGTCCCGCATGAGTGTCTCACCTGTCCTGCCGGTGTTTGGCGGCCAGCGCACGGTGCAGTTCCTCGATGATGCAGCTAGGGGGCATCAGACCTAAGTGAGGGGAGCCGGTGGGGGTGGAGATCCTGCCCCGCAGGGCATCTTTGGGCAGGGTGAAGTTCCTGGGCAGCGTGGCAGGAGCGGGCCTGCTCTGATTAGAGTGGGTACCTAACGGACAAGAGCAAAAATAAAAACTGTTGTGACTAATTTAGTTTCATTATTACTTAAAACAAGCACTCTTCTGGAAAAATCTAGAAAACTATTATACATGCATCTGATAAATTGATACGGACTGTCGAGGCTGCCCAGTCTAGTAAGTAGCTTCACAGGAGGTTTGGCTGGAGGAGTGTGGACTTCTCTGAGTGGCGCCTTTTCTTTTTTCTGCTCATGGCACTCAGGGGCCTCAGGGGGCCCCACACTGGCCCCTCTGTTTGAGGCATTAACACAGGACTGCTCCTCATCCTCACTTTGTTCAAGTTCCCCTTCTGTGTCTATCATCTCTGTGGCGTCTCGCGCTGTAAAGAGATCAGGCCAGAAAAGAGCATTCTGTAATCTCTGCCGCCACCTAGTGCTAATTCACTTGCCATTTCTTTGTAATTGTTTTTAGCAATTTCTAAATTAAAACTGTTTATACACTCATTTTTTTCAGTGTCAGTATCAAGATGACATGCAACCTATTTTGCTTCCCTAATGAGTCATATTCCTGAAACAGAATATTCAACAATAAATAAATAAGTAAAGAAAGAAATCATATGGAAATTGTTTTGTCCATTAATGTGAGTTTGCAGTGTATTGTGGGGCATCTACTCCTTTCCACTGGTCTAGTTTTTGGCTTTTTGACCAGGACTTGCACTGAAAAAATTCTGTGTATTCTTTACTTTAAAATAATTTTCTCTCAGAAATTGCTAAAACAAATTTCACAAATAATGAGAAAGAGACGACAAATGACACATTGAATTACATTTTGAAGTAGAAAGATTTAAGTATTTCCTTGTATAACATTCTCCAATAATCTTTGTTTTACTTACAACTTGGAAAAATCAAGTGGTCTTGGTCAAGTTCACCCACCAGAGCATTAAATTTCAAAAACATTATTGTAGAAACACTGCAACAGTGATAGAGTTAACAGCATCAATTTTCACTCCATGTTGGCTCTCAGTCATCCGTTTTACAGAAGGCCCTGCGTTCACGGATCCTGACCTGCAGACAGATTGTCCTCATCAGACCCGAGATCCTCGGTGTTGCTGGCCAGCGGAGCCATGGGCTCGTCCTCGCGCTCCTCTCCGTCAGACTCGTCCAGCGCTGGGGCTCCTGCCTCGTCTGGACTCACGCCACACGCCAGGCCAGACTCTGCAAGCACGGGAAAAACGGCTGTCATCACGTTCTCATAAAAGCCTCCTAACTCTGCTGGTGGTCAGACAGGAGCAGGTGATCTCGCTAACGTTACGCCTGCACGCTGCTGCTGACAGCGGGGAGCTGAAGAGTGATGTTTCTCACCCATGCCAGCCTCTGCCAGGCCCTTCCTGACAAGATCGTCACGATTCTGCCTGCTGGGCACTTTCCTCTCCAGCCCTGCAGATACCATCAGATAGAGTCAAATATAGATCTCACTGAACACAAACACAAACACTACAGTCCTTCAGTCTCTACATCAAGCAGTAGATACTGAGAATCAATTATAAAAATCAACGCTATCAAAATTTATTTATTGCATGTGATAAATTAAAAATGTTTAGCAATGTAAAAAAAATCTTTAACACTGTAATCAAAAATTACCAGAAAAGTCATTACAATTCATTGGTAATAAAATGTAAAAATAAAACCGAGATAAATATTTTTTCATTAAAACATTTGTAATTGTGGAATTTATTAATTGTAATAATTTATAAGTATTTTATTTAATTACATTATTATTATTAAAAACAATCTATATAAATCTAAGCAATTATGTTTAAATAATATGTTTTAAATAAATATTTATATAAACATCTAAATATTTAATAAAAAATTGGCACTCTTCGTTTCTGTACATTAAAAATGTCAGAAAAGTTGAGAAACTTTGCTCTAGGTCTTGTAGCTTTAATTAAACTGTAAAATTATTACACTCAATTTCACTTATTATCCATATTTCATTTTTCTACCTCATTTTATTAAAGGAATGATCAGTGTTCAATACAAGTTTATGTCAATTGACAACATGTGTGGTGTAATTAAAGGGATAGTTCACCCAAAAATGAAAATGTGATGTTTATCTGCTTACCCGCAGGGCATCCAAGATGTAGGTAACTGTTTCTTCAGTAGAACACATTTGATGATTTTTAAGTCCAACCGTTGGAGTCTGTCAGTCGTATAATGCATGGCAATGGTAACAAAATCTATGAGAGTAAAAAAAACATGCACAGACAAATCCAAATTAAACCCTGCGGCTCGTGACGACACACTGATGTCCTAACACACGAAACGATCGGTTTGTGCCAGAAACCCAACAGTATTTATATCATTTTTTACCTCTAATATACCACTATGTGCAACTGTCTTTGAGCACACGCAGGCATCTGGTGCGTGAGGTGTGCACGCGCTCTGGCGTAGTTTACGCAAGCGCCGGAAGTGATCTCTCGCGCGTATACGTCACTCATTGTTTACACAGTGCACAAACATTGTAGGTACGACGGCTAATCAAAATGGTACTTACTTGCGCTTATCTGGATTGTTCAAACCGACTTAAAACTAAAAGATTACGTTCTCTCGCACGAACTCATTCGGGAGCGGTGACTTTCCACGTATTCCCAACTTCTGAGCCTGCTCGCCTGAAGTTATGCTTGATTGCTCTTCGGCTGGATATCAACACACCCATTAACATAAACTATGCCAGAGCGCGTACACACCTCACACACCGGAAGCCGTGCTCGCGTTCAAAGACATAGTGGTATATTAGACGTAAAAAATTATATAAATACTGTTCGGTTTCTGGCGCAAACCGATGGTTTCGTGTGTTAGGACATCAATGTGTCGTCACGAGCCGCAGGGTTTAATTTGGATTTGTCTGTGCATGTTTTTTTTACTCTCATAAATTTTGTTACATTGCCATGCATTATAAGACTGATAGACTGCAACGGTTTGAGTTAAAAATCTCCGTTTGTGTTCTACTGAAGAAACAAAGTCACCTACATCTTGGATGCCCTGGGGGTAAGCAGATAAACATCAATTTTTCATTTTTGGGTGAACTATCCCTTTAATAAGGAAAACGTTTTTGACTAAACAAACAGCTTTTACCTGTTACTCATCAGTTTCTGACAGTCTATCAGTTCATGCACTTGGTGAGGATTTTTCAGAGTATTTCTGCAGATTATATTACACCAGTAGATGTGTTTATGACTGAGTCACTGATTCACTCATTCAACCAGTTTAGACTCATTCAGGGAAAAAACACTACTATTCTGCTTAGAAATGATCAGCACTGTGGACAAATAAAGACAAAGTAAGTTGCACTATTTTACTGTTTAAAATGTAAGTTACTCAATATTGACTTCTTGTTTATTGAACTGTAGGCATTGGAAGAACTGTAAAGAATACCTGCTGATATTTAAATTAATCACACTGTTGCTTGAATGATTTTTCTTACATTTAGCATTAACCTGTCAGAATCTAGAAATGGAACTATTAATTTTATTACTGAAATTATAGTAATATATTGTAATAGCATGAAAGCTGAAATGCTTTTTCTAACTCACCTGTAGAGCCCTGTCTCAGTTTTTCATTTTTCTTTTTCCTCCACTTCCAGGGCTTGAAGATGCGTCCCAGGCTGGCCAGTTTGCTGTTGCGGCGGATGGGGGGAGTTCTGACCCCTGACACCAGACAACCGGAGTGAAGCGCTCTGTGCTGGTCCATCACATCTACAACAAAACACAGACCAGCAGAAACGTGCTGAACCTAAAGCTGTCCACTCCTGATATTAAAGGGGTAGTTCACCCCAAAATAAAAATTATGTCATTCATTACTCACCCTCGTGTCGTTCCAAACCTGTAAGACCATTGATCATCTTCAGAACAAAAATTAACCATAATTTTACGAAGCTACGAGAATAGCTTCGTAAAATTAGAGTTGAACCACTGATGTCACATGGACTATTTTACTGATGTCCTTACTATGTTTCTGGGCCTGGGAACATTTGAGTTGCATTGCTGTCTATGGGAGGGTCAGAGAGCTCTCGGATTTCATCAAAAATATCTTAATTTGTGTTCGGAAGATGAACGAAGGTCTTATGCTTTTGGAACGACACAAGGGTGAGTAATTAATGACAGAATTTTCATTTTTGGGCGAACTATCCAAGCAGTCTTAAGTCGCTGGGTATATTTGTAGCAATAGCCAACAATACATTGTATGGGTCACAATTATAGATTTTTCTTTTATGCCAAAAATCATTAGGATATTAAGTAAAGATCATGTTCCATGAAGATATTTTGTACATTTCCTACCATAAATACATCAAAACTTAATTTTTGATTAGTAATATGCATTGCTAAGAACTTCATTTGGACAACTTTAAAGGAGATTTTCTCAATATTTTGATTTTTTTTTGCACCCTCAGATTCCAGATATTCAAATAGTTGTATCTCGGCCAAATATTGTCCGATCCTAACAAACCATACATCAATGAAAGCTTATTTATTCAGCTTTCAGATGATGTGTAAATCTCAATTTTGAAAATTTGACCCCTTATGACTGATTTTGTGGTCCAGGGTCACATATCTGTCAGAAGAGCTTTTTTAGCAAATATTTAGTAGATATTCAGTCTCATCCACTGACTAGTTCATAATGCATGAGATGTAAATAAACATACTGTATATACAGTACGTTCATAAGTCATAAAACATATGTAAACACACACAGCACAGAACTGCATTTCTGAAGTGTTTTTTAATCTGATTTAGAAAACAGTTTTTTTCCCCTGTTGATTAAATTATTTCAGGTCTACCCCCCTTCTTTCAATCTGATCGAGCTTTCTCTTGGATTGAGCTCATCTGGATCGATTGAGGTTTTTACATGAAGGCTTTTCAGTCTGACAAGACATCAGTCTGATTATAGAGTTATTAATTGGGTGCATGTAAATGTAGCTACTGACTGCATCACAAAACATTTCGGATGCAGTTCACACCAGTATTTGGTGTTGTCCACTTGACATCAGAACACCTGGGACAGATGTTAATAACAGCTGCAAAAGGGGCCAATGATATTCTCTGGGGAGTGAATGGTGTCTGCATACAGCAACAAGGCCTGTGTCGAATCTCAGGACACATGGCTGAGCATTTGCTGGGCCAACAGCATTTGTTTACCACAGCATATGGGTCATCTCCCCGAAGGCAAAACATTAGTTTCAATTCAAAAGCTAAAGAAACACTTGAAAAACTGACCAGAAATGGATCTGTTACTCTGAAAAGTTCTGTTGTTATTTACTCAACCTCATGTTGTTCGAAACCTCGATGATATTCTTCCTTCCAAAGAACACAAAAAGAGAAATTGTGAAAAACCTATATGCTGCTCTTTTCCCTTTCGTTAAAAAAGGACTAAAACAAGATGAAAAACAGCACAAAAGCAGTGCATTATAGCCTCCTGAGACCCAGATATGGAGTTTTTGTCTCTGTAGAGGACATGATATGTTAGCGAATTGGTCTTTAAAGATGGCTGATAATAATTCAGTGATAAAATTGTAGAAATATGATAATATTCTGCAATTATCATTTAAATCTGATTAATTTTCAAATTGTTTGTCATAAATCAGCATCTTAGGAAAATGTTATGGGGTTTCAAATCAAAATATGACTTTCTGTTATAATTGTATACATGTCCACTGTAGAGGACACTGGGACTAAAATAATGTTTATTATGCATTTTGGAAGACAAAACAATTGAATAGGAAAATATATCAATATTTTCATGAAATTATTACTCCCATTATTACACTTGTTTTTTTCAACATGCTGTCCCAACAGCACATTAACATGCATCCTTAAACAAATTTTGGCATAAAAAATCCTGAAATCTAAAAATTGATTGGTCCAAAAAATCCATTGTCTTTGCCTTTTAATGTCCCTTTATTTTTTTAGAAAAACTGAGTCCTGGTGTCCTCTACCGAAGACATAGCATAACATGAATAAAATATCATTTTTCAAAAATTTTATTTTTTGATTTTTTTTCTAATGCTCTAAACAATGTAAAGACATGAAATAAATACTAAATTCACAAAGCTTTTTTTCTGGTTCTCCGAAGGATATTACAAGTCTTATGAAAACCTACAATAGCACTGTTTAAGGGAGAGACAGAAGGCAATCACAGAAGATATTGCACATTTTCAAGCATGCTGTGTGAAAACACATGGAACCAAGTTTGACACTAATTATTCCAAACGCCGTTGGTTCTTACTGTTACGGGGCTGACAAGACGTGAGACGTGCAGTTCCATGTGCAAGCTTTATTAAAAGCAGAGGAGGTCAGAAACACAGGCAGGGTTGAACAGTGGCAAACGGGTATATGGCGGGCAAGACACAAGAATAGTCCAAGGGCTAGCGTAGGTCAACGATCGGCGAACAGAATCGCAAGGGCGAGACTAGAGGGATAAATCCAGGAAAACAGGCAAAGATCAGAAACCGAGAAAACAGACAAGGCAAGACTAGGCTAGGCTAGGGCAGGGTAAACTGAACAGGCTCCGTAGTGTAGCTATCAAAACGATAAGCGCTAAACAATACTCGGCAGTTAGAAGGAGTGAGATGGAGTGTTAAATAGTGAGTGAGTGATATGAAACAGCTGTGTGCAATCAGTGCTGTGTGCAATCAGTGCAATGAATGATGGGATATGTAACAGTGTGTAGTGCGAGAGTCAATGAAAATGGAAAGGGTGACCTCTGATGGCTAGCAGACGGAAGTTCATGGACCGGATACGTAACACTTACTAGTCACATGACTGATCAAGACACGGCAAGTCCAGCTTGACAGCTCATGTTCATTGTATGCTCAATCATATGCAAAAGAGCATGTCACTCAAATAAAGAGCCACCGGTTTCTTTAACTTTCTGCAGATGTCCAATTCACAGGTGAATCCTGTTCTGTGGACACACAGCATCGCATTATGTCTGTCTCACATGGTCTGCGCAGACACCAACACACAAACAACTGACTGTTTTAAAAGGCCGTCCTGAATTAACCACGGAAATCAATTCAGTCCTGTAACTCAAGGCACAAACTGACCAACTCCAAATGCACACTGACTTCCATACGTCAATCTAGCAGACAGGCTGGCACTGGATGAGTCCATCTCAAACCCCATCAAACTCGTGACAAGACCCTTTGAGTAAGAGCTAGAGGGTCCAGCATAATGAGGCAGCGCTGCGCCGGAGCAGGAATAGAAGCATCTCTCCTACACAGTCTGGCTGAGATGGAGAGCTGACACCTCAGGAAGAGAGCAGATGAACCGTGGGCAGCGCTGAGAGCTTCTATCTCTGTCTGTTTCTTCCGTTTGTCACACCTAAAACAGCACGAAAATTAAAAGACAACAACAACAACCAACACCTGTTTATATCAGAAGGAATAGTGATGGACTAATCCTCAACAATCCTTTCTTTAGATAATATGTGCAGAGCTCCCATCATTATACTAGATCAGGGGTGTCCAACCCTGATTTATATAAATACAATATGATATAAATGAGATATTTTGGGGTGTGTTCCCCATAGTATAATGCAACATTGGAAAAAAGCAAAGCCACTGGAAGGCAAGCATGTTTAACACTACACAATACCTTCGTTGGGAACTATACTGTATGCAGATTTATATAGCGTCTGGACCACTCAAACACACAATATATATTTTGTTAGCTAGATTTCACAAATACGAGCTGATTCGTTACATTTACCTTGATAATCTATCAAGGTAAAAATTTTATTTTTAAGAGAAGTTATTTTTACATGGTTCCAAACACAGATGCTTTTATTTTTTATTTCTCTGAAACACAAAAGGATGCTTTTCAAAGAACGCTGCCATTGTGGGTTTATATCATACACTGAAAAATGTTAAACAACCATATTTGAAGTGCATTTTTATATTGGTCAGATCAAAAGTTTAAACCTGTTTTGTTCAGTTTGTCTAAAAGCAAATAAAACTCCCCACAAGAAATACAATAAAATACTATTGTAATTAGTCACTTGTTAGTACATAACAAAACATATGATGCATATTTAAAAAAAAAAAAAAAAAAGACATCCTAATAAACATTACAGTGCTTTCAAAGTTGTCTTTATTTGTAGTAAATACAGAATCCACCTGACTGTAATAAGCATTTAGAGTGGCAGACAGCAAAACCACAGCAACAACATAATGTTACCATTATAGTTATCATTCTTGGTATTAACTACATAGCACGGAGAGTCTTAATACATTTCAGCATTAGTGTGAGTGTTAGTAATAGCTATGCTTGCATTAGCAAGCACCATAAAATATGTAATCACTAATGTAAAACAAACAATACAATAATTTGATGCTTCATTTAGTGAAAGCCTATAATGGTCCATACATCACACACTGCTCTGGTGAATCAATGCAATCAGAACAGCACACAATTTCTGTAGTTTCGAGGCTGATATCAAAGAATTGTTGACGGAAATAAAATTGCATTTTCAAATTTATGTTAAAACAGCCATAACAAAATCATGTATGTTTGTCTACAGTTATTCATGCTGAATGTAGTAGCCGTGCTGTGTATTACGCTCAACAAACTGTGCATTAATGTCAGGCATCTATATAACAACTCAGCAGTATTGCTATCGCATGTAAAGTTTCTATAGAGAGCAGAGGATGCAATGCAGCTTAGATTTTTCCAAGATGCCGGTGTGGTGCTGTCAGACA